CCTCGGGCTGCACCGGGCGTGAGGTCATCCCCTGCGAAAACGACTCCAGCTCCTGCCAACCTCCGCAGCCCTCAGCCCGGGGCCCCGTGCCCGTTCTTTCCCCCAAGACCTGCCCGTCTGAACTCTGACCCTTCTACAGCCACGAAGTACAGCCAAGTACTCAGTCCTCAAAGCATGAAAACTAAACAAGTAAAGTTCAGCTGAGAGCTGACGCAACCCTTGTAGAAAAGCGACATCTGTCTACCTCCGAGAGCCACGGCACCCCTAGGCGCAGCTTTAGGAGGCCGGAGCGCAGCTCAGCGAGTATGCAGCACCTCTGTGTACATCAGAGACGGGCAGGCCCCGGCATCCAGGTGCTCGGGCCCTACTTTCCGATACTGTCTCAGTTAGGATTCTCCCATGCGGGGTGTGCGGGCATGCATGCATTCGTGTGTGTGTGTGTGTGTGTGTGTGTGTGTGTGTGTGTGTGCCGTAAAGTGAGACGGTTCTCCACTTGATCGTGGAAGCAAAGCCCCACTGTTGAAAGGCGGAGAACCAGGAAGCCTGGTGCACAGTTCAGCCAGAGTCTAAGGCCCCGAACTGGGGTGACAGTTGGAAGGGAGGGGACACCAGGCCTGTCCTCTAGTGTGGAGGCCAAGAGCTCTGATGTCCAAAGGCAGAAGACTGATAGCCCAGCTGAAGGAGGACGGAGAGGGAGGAAGGGAGAGAGACAGAGAGACAGGACAGAGATAGAGATAGAGAAAGAGATGGAGAGAAAGACGGGAGAGGACAGGAAGAGACAGAGACAGAGAGATGGAGAGGACAGAGAAGAAAGAGACAGGGACAGACAGAGAGACAGAGGCAGAGACAGAGATAGAGAAAGACAGGGAGAGAGAGAGGCAGAAAGATGGAGAGGACAGAGAAGAAAGAGACAGGGACAGAGAGACAGAGAGACAGAGGCAGAGACACAGACACTCTTTTGCTGTCCGCCTGCCTTCAGGTTCTCTGTGGCCCCTCCATGGACCGGACTGTGCCCACCCACTGTGGTGAAGTCAGGTCAGCCTTATCCACTCTGCCAGTTCATCTGCTAATCTCATCCAAAACCACCTCACAGATGCCCTGGGAGTGAAGTTTAACTGCATACTTGAGTTTCCTCTGGCCTAGTCAGGTTGACACATAATCACACATTTCTGAGAGGATCATTAGTAGGGTCTTACAGTTTTCTTAACACAGCAACAGCACCAGCAGCACCAAACGCCTGGGAGCGGGCGCGTGCAGCCCAGAGGCGAGGCCGTGTCTGGGTGGATTCTCAACCCGACGTGCTCCGAGTGCCCAGGCTGCGCCCGCTGTGTCATGTTCTGTCCTCACCCGCAGCTGCTGTAGTCCTGGCTCCCGCTGGCCTAAGTGTGTGCTCTGGTGTGTTTCCGCCTCCACCCTTGTGTTGATGCTGTGACACCACCGGATTCCCTCTCTGATTCTCTCCAAATCCCATCCATCACTTGAAGGCCAAATAGAAAGTCAGCTTTGCCCCAGAAACCCTCCCGGGGCAGCTGTCGGACCTCCGTGACGGTTGCTTTCCCTCGGTGACAGGCACTTAGGTGGTGGAGAGGAAACATGAGGGGAAGGGTCCATCACCCGCCGTCATGCTTTGGGGGACAGGGTGGCTCTGACCAACACTCCTTGAGGGAGCAGGTGAGTGGACGGCTTGGCTGTGGTTTGTTCTCAGGAGCCAAGTGAGACCGGACAGTTGTTCAGCCTGAGCACAGAGAGTGGTGAGCGTGCTTTGCCTGGGGACAAGGAGGCGGAGAGGAGGAGCGCTGCAGGAAGGAATGGGTGGGGGGAGGAGGAGCCCGTGGGATCCGGCAACTCCCCTGAAGGCCTTAGACTTCTGGTGCACACTGTGGCCTTTGTGCGCGGCTGAGGTCACCCCTGTGGGCACGCACCCTGCACCTCGAGAAAAGCCTGACACCCTCACAAGAACGGGCAGGTTTCGGACAGCCCCGAACGCAGTGTCGGGTTTTGCAGAGAGCTTGGTGCAGCGGAAGGCAGGAAGCAGGAAGCTGGTCTCAGCAGCTGCACTGGGGCTGTGCAAACCTTTGGAAAGGATTTGTGGGGAGTTCTGGCCCATCGTAGTTGGACTCGGGGCTCACAGAGGGGCTCCCGAGTTATAGTCTCCACACGAGAAGCCTGCGGTAGCTTGTGCCTTCCCCCGTCCTCAGTCTCCACCCCTCCCTGCGGTGTCCCTTCTTCCTCTCCTCCTTCCCCCGACTGCCGTGTCTTCTCTCTCTCAGGATAATTTGGCCTCTGTCTTCATTCTAAGTAGAGAGAATGTCAGCACACAAACATTTGGTGATAGACCCAACAATCAAACCATCATTCCTTACAGGGCAGTGGGAGACAGGGCGGAGAAGAGGCGGGCACAGACCCTGTGGGTCAGCACACTTGAATACTCACATCACACACAGCTGCTCACACACACTGTGTATACTTAGGTCTCGTCACGTGCTAAGGTTTAAGTTCTATGAGTGTAGCCACTGTGTCTTTGTCAGGAGCACCTTTCATACCTCACCACCGGCCGGCCGGCCTGGACGCAGCCCTGACTCAGTAGATCCGGGTGGGTCTCTGGAGAGGGCCGGGAGGGCAGAACCAGCATTGCAGACTCTGTTACCTGCCAAGCAGAGCAGAAGGCACTCAAGTGAGGCATGCACGGAGTATCGGCCGCCTGCTCTGCACCGAGTACTCCCTGGAAGGCCTCTTCCTGAATTCTCAGTGCTGGGCCACCTTACTCAGTCCCAGGAGCTGTGCAAGAAGGTGGCCACGCTCCCTGCCATCTTGGGACGGGACGCAGCCATCACCAGCACCACGGCACAAACCAGACCCCGCCGTTGTCAGAACCTCAACTCTGCACAGGTCGCCTCAGGTAGAGGGGCAGACACACCCGCTCTGGGCTGTCTACTCCATGACCAACGGGCTTTTTCTTTTGCTTCACTATGAAACAGACCCATTTTAAATATCTGAAGGTGAAAAGCGAGGACCAGGAGCGAAGAAGCCTGGGCTCAGAGTGACGCTCAAGGAGAGGACATGTCTGGGGCAGCACGCGATGGGCGTTTGGGGCTGGCCCAGGCCTGACCGAGTGGGCGCTCTGAGAGTCACAGGACATTTGCAGCCTCAGGTCCTGCTCACCACCCAGGGGTCTGTCTGTGACACCCACACTCAGTGCTCAGGCCTCTCCACACGTGCTGCTCCAGGAACCCCTGTGTTCTGAGATCACTCATGACGTGGGCCCCTTCAGCTTGAGAGCCCAGTGATCCTCAGGAGTGTCGGGGTAAGAAGCCTGGGACTCGCAGCCGGCCTGGGCTGCTCCCTGGAGGGCTCCTGTGGCCTGGGGGTACTTAGATCCTTGGGGTGCTGGGGTGACACTCAAGGCAAGTGTGCTGGAGGACTCCACCTGAGAGGAAAGGGCCCTGAGGCAGACTCAGCTTCTCCACAGGTCACCTCTAACCAGAGCCTGCCCGGGCCCTCTGCCTGCTCCAGGGCAGCTCGGGATGGGCTGCAGGGGAGTGCGCATCGCCTCACCACACTAGGGTAGGAAACCTTCATTCTCCACACTGTGCTCACCAGCTGTGGCCCGGCTCCTGCGGGAGAGCAGGAGAAATCCCTGGCCCCTGAGCTGTTCCTAGAAGCACGCATGCTGTCCCCGAAGGGCTTGCAGTGAGCAGGCTGTCACCTGCCCCCATCAGGGTACAGTCCCAGTGGGCCCAGGAAGATCAATCTTGCTTATGAAAAATAACTTTGGGCTTTAATTTCCAAACACCCACAGTGACAAGGTAAAGGTGGCCCTTGAGGACAGTGGCCAGGGCAGAGAGGAGAACGGGGCAAAGGACAGGGAAGAGGGATGGAGGAGCAGTCTTCATCCATCCATACCTCCCTCCCCCCTCCATCCATTCATGCAGCCTGTGGGTGCCAGGGGCCCCGCTGTGCATGTCCCCAGCTTCTCACTGCGGCCAGGTGCCGGGCAGGCGGGGTGTGCATCGGTCTCTAGCTGAGTGTGGACGCCATGCATTCTCTTTATGGGGACTTCCTGCCACGTTCCCAGGAACGCCACAAAGCCAAGGTCACTGTCCCTCCTTCCCAGGACGCAGCGTCAGACCAGAGGCCCACAGCTGTCATGTGGTCCAGCCGGGATCTGAACACAGACTGACGACCGCCCCCCGCCTTCCGCCCTGTGCTGGGTACCAAGCCTGAGCCAGACATCGAGGCCAAAGCCAAGCCAAGCCAAGCCAAGGGACAGAGTCCCAGTGCTGGAGCCTCCGCTGCCCTGTCTGTGGGAGGACAAGGAGTGGCCATGCGGGACTGGTAAACACCGGGATTCGGGACGAGGCAGGCCCAGCTTTCACGTGGAGGGTGGAGGAGCTCTCCAGACGCAGGACAGGGGTGACACCCCATGGTCATGCAGCGTTCACGGAGGCGCTGAACACAAAGGCTGGAGAGCTGGAACTGGGCGCCAGAGGAACTGGAAACTGGCATCCATTGTTCACCTGGTCCTTCTCTCATTCAGCACGCATTCATCAGGCGCCTGCTGTGTGCCAGGAGTCCACATCCAAAGGGCTTTAAGCAAGATTTTAAGCAGGCACCCACAGAGAAAAGGAACCCGTGTGGAAATCATTCTGGGGCCCAGGTGACAGATGGCCCCAAATGACAGGGTGGTGAGCCTGGAGTGTGGGGCTTAGGTGAGAGGATGGGAGACCTCTGCAGTGGACTCAGAGTGGGTGCTGAGACACAGCCCCGTCCCTGTGAGACACGCTGTCTCTGGGGCATCCCCGCGGATGCGAGTTAGACTTTGGGTTACCCGCATGTGCCCTTTCCCACCAGGAGAACACAAGTTCATTAAGAATGGGTTCCGGGGCTGGAGGTTTAGCTCAGTGGCATAAGCACCTGCTTTGCAAGCAGGCGGTCGTGAGTTCAGTCCCCGGTACTGATAAAAAGGAAAAGACCACACACACACACAAAAGAATGGGTTCCAAACCCCAGTTATTAGATATTTAATCCAATATTAACCAAACAAATAAATACATGGAGAGAGAGAGGGAGAGGGAGAGACAGAGCGGCGTGGTGGGGAAGAAAGAGATGAGCTGTTTCTGTGAGCACTGAGTTGAAAACTTTGAAGAACCATCTGACGAGAACCACTAGAAAGGAAAAGCTATGGAACTGGGGAGGAAAGTCGTAAAATTCCCCACAGTTCTCCTTTAGGTGGCTTTACAAGGCCCTGGAGGTCTCTCCACTTCAAAGGCGCTGCGCTGGAAAGGAGCTGGTGCGTCTCGGGTGTGGCTCGCGTCAGGAAGATGACGGGGCTATGGTTAGCAGAGCTGCTAAGGAAGCTCTGGCTCCACATCAAAGACGGGGTGAACGGCACTTCTGTGTTTTCGGTTAAAATTAAACAGGTTTAAAGGGCAGGTGTGCCATTTTTTAGCTTTCAGAAAAGTCGTTATGAAGCCCAACACATGCAGGGCAAAGTGCACAGGAGCCGCACAGAGAGAGATTTTGCAAGAGAACCCGCAGCACAGCCAGCACCCAGGTCAGCACCCCACAATCTGTCCTCCTGCCTCGCTCCAGGCGCCCCCCTACCCCTCCCTGACTCAGATTTTTATCAGCCTGGTTTGCTTCTGCTCATTATATAAATTAGACCAAACTGAATGTGTTGGGCTTTTCCTTTGGGTTTGACTGGCTTTTTTTGTCTGTCGTGTTTGCAAACTGTACCTAAGTTGTTAGCATAACAGTAATGTGCTGGACCCCACTTTGTGGTATTTTACAGGCTGTGGGGTACACCAGTAAGGTCTTAGTAAATGGCAGCCAGGAGACGAGAGAGACCTCTAGCTAAATAAAGACGGCCTCAGGCAGCTGGGTGCTGTGTTCAGGGGTGCTCCAGAGACACTGAGCTCTCCGCTCTGCCCGTGCCTTCCGCTGTTAAAGGGTAGACAGGTTGTTTCTGGGGTCCGACTGTCTCAGTCACTTTCCTTGTCATGTGCACAAAATATTTGGCACCTGAAACTTAGAGGAGGAGAGGTTTATTTTGGCTCATGGTTAGAAGTCTCCGTCTTTGTGTGGTGAGCTGGTTCCAGGCAGAAGCAAGGCGGGCTGGTGCAGGGGCCTGGGCGCAGGACACGGCTCACTTCGTGGTGGACAGGAAGCAGGGTGGACAGGAGACAGAAGGGAGGAGCCAGAGAAGGAGATCCCCAGCCAGGCCACCCTCTAGTGACCCACCTCTTCCGACCAAACCCTGCCCCCCAGCAGCACTTCAGCTGCAACACATCCGTAATCCAGGCACCTTCCAAAGCCTGTGAGTGCGTGGGGCTCTGGGGGACACCCACTTCCCGTTTCCTTTTGCTTCATGACCGTGATGGGTTGAGGCAGATGGTGAGCAGCCTCTAGCGCCTCCTCCAGTCCGAGTCCGTCTGCTACTTTTGTCATGGCTGGAAGCGAGTTAAAGGCTTTTGGAGACAATGTCCCAGAGCTGAAGCGCCCTCCTCACCACGTCTGGTGGAGGACCTGGGACATCCTGTGACCTCACCGAGGCCTCGACCCTCCTGGCTGGCAAGGGGATTGTTGACTGCTCCTCCTTTTCTCTTTTCTGTAGTTTTGAGGTGAAGCCCTGAGTCTCCCGGTTCTTCAGTGGGGAGGGAGCTGGGGGAAGAGTTCTCTCTCACCTGCTGCAGGTTGGCGAGCTGCCTCTATTCTGCGGAATATTCTGCAAGGAATAATTTCTTTGTTTAACAGCAGTGTGAACTCCCATTAATTTCTTACTTTGGATTACACTTCATGACTATTTTATTGTTCAAAAATTTTCAGCTTTGACCACTGCGAGCTCTTTCAAGGTCGCTTCTATTCCCTGACTGTGCCATCATCATTTTTGATGATGATTATTTCCTGATACTGTAAGATACTCCGGGCTTGATGCTTTACAGCGATGCCTCAGTTCGTGAACACATTCTCTCCATGATTCTGGTTGCAAACCCAAAATGGATGAGCACCGAATCAAATGTCCTGGTAAGGATGACGCTGGACCTAGCCACGGACTCTGGTGCTGTTCTTGTTTCCCAGTGCACTGCCCACCTCTGTAGCTGTAGGCACCTTCCCCTGTTTGTCTCTCCCACATCCTCATTTTGTTCTTTAAACCTCTCCCCTTTCCTGAGTAGTCATGGAGAGTGAAGTCAAAGCACCTGCCCTTCCTCGGCCAGTCAGACCCACTTTCTCAGGAAGTCTGAAATTTGAACCTAGTGTTGGGAGGAATATAACCCAGCAGCTGTGGTATGTCCATTCAGGGGGCAGAGTCTGCTGCAGCTATTAAATCCCCAGAACTGTCCTGGTCTCTGCCCTGTCCTGAGAATGTATTGCCAGCTTTCTCTTTGATTTTGTGAATTATTTTTATTCCTTTCACGGGCTAACCAGCCAGAGGTGGCTTCTGCAATTTGTCAACAAAGAAATCTCACTGGTTCGCTTGCCTTCACATGCCCTGCTGGTCTACCCAGATCGTCAGTGCTGGGGGTCCTGACATGGCCCCCATGCTCTCATTCTTCAGGTGTATTTGGAGATCCCCCACCTGCTTCATTTAGATCACTCCCCCATCCCCCGAATTTTGCTTTTGTGCAGGAGTTAGCACACATTTTCTGTAAAGTGCCCAAAGTATATTGTTTTAGTCTGTCTGTGCTGCTATAATGAACTACCCAAAGCTGGGTAATTTATAAAGAATAAGAGATTCAGTTTTTATAGCTTTGAGATCCAGGAGCTCACATCTGGTGAATGTCATCTTCTGCATCATCTCATGGTAGAAGGCAGAAGGGTAAGAGAGAGTTTGTACATGTGTGTGTGTGCCTACAGGTACAAGACAGAGAGAGGGAGAGAGACACAGAGAAAGAGAGAGAGAGAGAGAGAGAGAGAGAGAGAGAGAGAGAGAGAGAGAGAGACACAGAGAGAGACAGAGAGAGAAACTGGCTTTTGTAACAAACCCACAAACCCACCGTCACCATGACCAGTACATCCTTGCAATGCTGGCATACCATCCTGTTTCTGATACATCTTGGAATAAATTTTATCCTGGTAGCTGTGTTTTACTTGGCAACTAGCTGGGTTTAATCTCATGCACACTATAATTTGTAAAAATAAATATCGAAGTCCAGGATAATGGGAAAATCGTGGCACATGCTGATGTCGCACTTTGGCTGGGTCTCCTTCTCTTGGCTTCTGAGGAGCTCAGAGCCACCAGAGCAGGACCCCTGTGCTGGCACGGAGGACTCCGGGTGTGTGCGTCCCGTGGAGCCCTATTCTGTTTCCTTTGCTGCTTCAGTCTTGATTTCTGTACGCTTAGCACACGCAGTCTTGCTGTATCATGTATATCCATGTCTTCAGCTTCTTTGCCTAAGGGCAGGAAAAGGTTTTAAACAAAGCCCTGTTTAAATGAGAACAAACGCTGAACCGGGGAAGGACTTCCAGGCGTCCTCTAAGGATTTTGAACCGGAGGAGAGCGTTGCAAGGTCCACCCCCGGGGAACATTGCTGGTGTCTTCTTGTTAGTCGCGCCAGGGTTTGGAGGCCAGGGTCACTATTAGCTCATGGACTGCACCGACCTGCACCTGGGTGAGGCTGGGCTGGACAGGATCATGGCTCAGTGCTCCTGGACCTGTGAGGTCACAAACTCCATCCTACAAGGGTGCCATTGTGCCTGGCACCTCCCTGGTGATTTCATCGCCGGACCATCTCCCTTCAAGGTTTCCTGAACCCGGGAAGGCAGCTGTAGATGGTTCTCCAGTGAGATCATCTGACCCAAACCACAGCCGTCGGCCTCGCCCTCACACCCAGGTCCCATCTGAGTGTCCCTGGGGCTGGCAGGCTGCCTTAGTCAGCTGTGGTGATGCTGGTAGCTTGTGCAGGTGGCCCTCCAAGACACCTGGCCCCTTCCGTGGAACTGGGTTAGGAGGCCACTGTCTGAGGCCAGGCCCTGGCTCTTCAGATCCTCACTGGGGCGATGTGAGCTGCAGGTGTGAACGTGGCTGCAATGGTCCTCCAGTGTCCCGCATAGACTGACTGGACCACAGAGGAGCTGATTTAGGACACGTATGTCAGCACCTGACCCCTGGAAAGGACAGTTCATTTACCCCACAAATAGACCCTGATTGGCATCCATTAACAGCCAGGGCATGGCACCAGAACCAGGGTGCCTGGTTCAAATCTTGCCTCTTGTACCAACCCGCTGTGCAATCTGCAGACTTCACCTGGCTTCCCCGAGCCTTGTGTAAAAATGGGGAGGACCGGTGCTGAATCTCTGTTGCATTCCTTTCCTTTCTTGACTTGCTCTTCCTGTGGGGAAACCAGCCAGTGTGTCCTGAAGACATGGAGTGAGGCCTCCTGCTCACAGCCGAAGGGGCACTGCCAAGCTCACTCGGGGCTCCAGTGACCACAGCCCTTGTCTGCCTCTGTGCAGTGGTGCTTCCCAAGGGACCCCAAGCTGGAGTCTCACAGTGAAATTCGTCCTGCCTCTTGATCCTCAGAAACAGCTCCAGATGGTAAATGTCTGTTGTTTGAAGCTGCCAGGCATTGGGGTGATTTGGGGTGACTTGTTATGCAGCATTCAGTAATGCACACAGAGTGTGTGTGTGTGGGTACATGCATGTGCAAGGAACGAGGGTTCTGCATCATGGAGAGAATCTAGTGGAGTTTAGACACGAATCAGCCAAAGTGTGTGGAGAGTGCTGAGGAGAGCAGAGTGGCGTGGAGAGGTGGGGTGGCTCCAGGGGACCGGGGACAGGGGTCGGGGAGGCTCCCCACCAGCACTGCATTGAAGCTGCATCTCAAAATCTGCACAGAGCCAGTCAACAGGCAAGAGGCGGCAGGAAGGCACCTTGGGGGGAGCAGCCCATGGGGACGTCTCAAGGTGACGGTGGGCAGCAGGGCCAGGGACTGGACAGGGGCAAATGATGCTGGCTTCAGCCTCCCCCATGAAGGAGTTTGGATTCTGACAGGTTTGAGGTAGGAAGAGATTGCATTTTACAAATATCCACAGAGCGGTGCCTGAACTACGGGTTTCCGTCAGTTTTGCCTGGGATGGTCTCCTGTCAGCTGCCTGCTGGAATTGTCTGACTCGTTCTGACACAGAGGAACACCCAGAGCTCAGGGCTCGCCTCGCTTTTGTGATCATGATTTAAGCTGCGATGATTTCCTCACATTACTGTTCTGAAATCTCCCAGGATGGGATCACACAGGCTCAGCCCTCTGTGTCTGCAGGTTCTGTGTTGGATTCAACCACCGAGCCGTCAAAAAACAATTTTTTAAAATTGCATCAGCGTTGAACATGTAAGGAATGTTCTTGTCATAAGCCATACAGGGCAACAGCTGGTGCGTGGTATCTCTAGTGTGTTAGGTGTCCAAGTGACGCAGACGTGACTTAAAGGCCAGGTGAGGGTTGTGCCAGTTATAGGCAAATACCATTATTTATAAGAGACTTGAGCACCTGCGGATTTTGGTATCTGAAAGCATTCCTGAGAATTCCCTTGTGGACCCTGAAAGATGATGGGCTGAATTCAGG